CTCTGCATGGAATCCGAGTGCGGGTGTGGGCTCCCCCGGGGCCCTCCAGGCGGAACCGAGCTTGAGAGGGCCTGGTCTGGTGAGGAGGGACTCCGTGCCGGTAGGACGGAAAGCCCCGGGCACCGCAGACGACGGTCCGGCTGCTGTCACCAGGAAGCCACTGCCAACACGGCAGGGAGAGGCCTGGGGGTTTTCGGAGGCGAGGACCCTTGGCCGGCTCATAGGGTATTCTTTCCTGCGTCTCCCCCACCTGCACGCCGAGCGCAGGAACTGGCCCCAGAGGCTCCTGCTGGGGTCTACCACGGACCTTTCGCACAGATCTCGGCCCACTTGCTACCCAAACCCCCGTGGGTGGTATCTGCAAAGGGGGTTCCCTTTGCAGATGAGAAAACAGAGGCGAGAGAGGCAAAATGTGCCCGGCTGTGCAGCAAGAAGGGAAGGAGCTGGGATTCAAACCCCCACTTTTTCTTTTTTTAAAAAAATTGGCTCAGGACGCCTTGATGGCTCAGCCGGCTGCGCGTCCAACTCTTGAGTTCAGCTCAGGTCACGATCCCGGGGTCATGGGATCGAGCCCTACGTGGGGCTCCACGCCAAGCGTGGACCCTGCTTAAGAGTCGGTCTCTCGCCCTCTGCCCCTCCCCCCTGCTCTCTTGAGATATAATTTACATACATTAAAATGCACTCATTAAAATGCATTAATGAGTTTTGACAGGGGTGTGCAAATGGCAACCATGACCATAATCTACAGAACATTTTCATCATCCTCAAACATTCCTTATGCCCCTCTGCGGTCAGTCCCCTCCGCCAGCCCCCATCCCTGGCAACTACCGATGTGTTCTGCGTGTCCTAGAATTTCATAGAAACAGAAACGTACAACGTGTGATGTTCTGCATCTGGCCGCCTTTACTTAGCACGAGGCTTTTGAGACTCATTCGTGCCACATGCGAATACCAGCTCTCGGCTGACTTTTTTCCTGAATAGTCGTGCCCCACGGGGACAGACTACAACTTGCGTAAGCGTTTACGTGCACCGATGGACATTTGGATCATTCCCAGGTTTTAACTACTACACAGGGTTTCCCGTTGTTCACGTCAGCTACACAGAAACAAGTGAATTTCTGCACGTGTGCCATCTGTCCTTCAGCTCTGCTAAGCTCAACTCTTCAGTTTTGGTAGCTGTTTTCTGAAGGCTTCTTACGCTTTCCCGCCCCGTTGATCTTGTCTCTGGCAAATAAAGATAGTTTTACTCTCTTTTACTTTCTTTTCCTTGCCCAGTTGCATGCTCTGGGACACCCCATTGGATGATTGTGAATAAACGTGAGGAAACCAAGGTCAGTTTCCCGCGTCTGATCACTGCGCTTACGCTCGTGAAAACCGGAAGCTGTTAGCACCGGAGAAGGCTGCTCGAAGGCACCGTGCTAGTTTTGCAACTTCTGTGCGAGTTTTGGTTTAAAATGGCTGCAACATAAGAAATTAGGTTGTTGGGGGGACATTCTTACCTCGTTCCCAGCCTTAGCGGGGGGGGGGGGGGAGACCTTCGGTCTTTCAGCACAAAGTATGATGCTCGCTGTAGGTTTACGGCAAGTGCCCTTTATCAAGTGATGAGCGACGTTCCTCTTATGCCTGGTTTGCTATGAGTTTTGTTTGTTTTAAAATCATGAACAGGTGTTGAATTTTGTCCAAACCTTTTTCTGTGTCTTTTGAGACAATTATAGGATTTTTCCTTTTTTACTCGGGCAACGTGGTGGATTATGTTATGTTTTGACTATTGAACCAACCTTGCCTTCCTGGAATAAAACACCCTCTCTCGTGAATTACTTCCGCTTTGATATACAGCTGGATTCAACTGGCTAGATTTTCATCAAAGACTTCTGCGTCTCTGTTCATGAGGGATGCTGGTCTGTATCTGTCGTTTCTTGTAAAAGATGTGTCTGGTTTTGGTATCAGGATAGTGGAGCCCTCAGAAAACCAGTCAGGACGTGTTCTCGATTTCCCAAATCATGGAAGGTTTTGTGTTGGCTCGGTATTGTTTCTTCCTTAAATCTTTGGGCCAATTCACCAGTAAGACCACGTGGCCTTGGAATTTTCTTGGCGTGAAGGCTTTTGAGTCGCATCTTTTACACAATTTTATTAAGATACGATTTACCTTGAAACTCACCAATTTAAAGTGCACAGGACAGGATTCACGCTTGGGAAGAGATTAATCTCACTTGTTTTCACTCCGTTCCAAGACGGTGCTTGGGAGCTCTCCTTTTGCTGATGAATTATACCCTGAACACACAGAGCAGCCAGCAGGCCACAGTCACCACGCGTGTAAGGAGGGTGTAAGCCCAGACCCCGCGGTATCTGGAGCTTCTCAAAGAGATGACTCCTTGTCCGGTTCCATCTCAGGCCGACGCCCTCCGGCTTCCCCCTTGCGGCCCTCCTGGAGCTGTTCTCCGGAGGACTGCCAAGAACACCGGGTCCTCCCTGTGGCTCAGTCCACGGACCCTCTGCGGCCCTTCTTCCCTGACCTCCCTGCGGTATCTGATGGTCAGGCTCCCAGTAGGGAACAGATGGCTCCAAACGGGGGTCACCGACAGAGGCTTTAAGGAAGGGACGACCTGCGAGGTGTGAGTGAGCAGGGGCAGGGACATCACGAGGGGTAGAGTGGTTCCTGGAGTGTGGACCACTCTCAGGCCAGAAGGGCCGAGGGCAGGGAGCAGACACTGGAGCACAGGCTGAGAGGGCAGGGGGGACCCTTCTCGCGAGATCGTGCCGGAGGCGACCCCGCTAGAGGGAACTGAGGACCTTCGGCTCATCCTCCTCCCTCCGTGGGGACCCCCCAGGTCAGTCTCTGGGGACGCAGAGCAGGGCGGGGAGGGGAAAGGGCAAGGGAGGGTCTGAAGAGAGAAAAGGACCTGTGAGCACGCCCTCTGGGTCCTACGCCAGCTCAGGCCCGTCTTCTCCAACAGCCCTTCCCCATCCGCTGCTCCTGGGTGCTCCTGAGGGTTCGCACCCCGGGGAACGGGCTCATCCCCACAGCTCCACAGACACGCCAAGGGCACCCTGATCGGCCTAACCTCTCTGCTGGGACCCTCCTCATCACCCCATCACACGGCGAGCCAGAATGGGCGAGCGCATGCTAACTGGGCACCGGGGGCTGTTCACAGCAGCATCCTCCCTTTACAGACGAGGAACTCAAAGGACCGAGAAGTCAGACGTGCCGTCCCAGGCCACACAACTGGGAAGCATCGGGGCCAGGACTGGAACCTGTGAGTGATTTCACAGCCCATGTCCTTCACCGCAATGACCAAACGGGCTCCTTCAGACACAGGAAAAGTTGGGACTGGATGATTCATCTTCCAGAAAAGTCTTTCCCTGGTCTGCGAAGGCGCCTGTCCCGCCAATCCCCATGGCCTGTCAGACGCCCCGCCCCAGAAGAGGACAGAGCGCACCCCTGAGAGAGCCCAGCCTGTTTGTGAATCGCCACCCCTCTTACATTTCCTGCATGAGGCCCCTGGCCAACAGCCAACACAGAGCCGGAGACAGAGCATTCACAGTCCCCTCTAGCACTTTATTGTTTAGAAAACAATGGCTCCAGTAGGAAGGAGCGCAATCCTGATGCTTACGGCAGCAAATACAGAAACAGAAAACTTCCAGCTTTAAGACGGTCCCAAATCCCTAACTGTGAAAACCCCCTTGGGGCACCTAGGCCTGAAGTGCCATCAGAAAGGTCTCGACTTAGTGACTGTCCCAAGTCCAACCTTCCTAATTTCGCTTCCGTTTCAAAAACTCACACGGCCTCCACGTCAGTGACGTTTATCAAGGACGTGGGTCAGGGAGCCCGGCCAGGCAAAGTCAGAAAACACTTGGCTGCTCCAGCCTACGTCCAGCAGGAATCGAGTTCCAGAGAAACGTGTCACATACTTTTGCCAGATACTTCATAGTGGGAGCGGGAGCCTCCCTGGGTTCCTTCCTAGCAGCGGTATCAGAGTCTGTAAGCGGGAAAAGTCTGTGAGACAGGGGTCCTCAGTGACACCCGAGCCTAAAAGATGGCCCTTCCCAGACCATCAGGCATCCTACAACTCCCTGAGGGGTGAGGGAGCTTCAGGGGAAGGGCCCTCCTCGGCTCTGGTCCTGGCTGACCTGTCCTAAACCCTTTGCCTTTGCCGTGGAGCACAAAGAGGCCACAGGGACGCAGATAAGCAAGCGATTTGTGTGAAGTTTCCAGAGGAGAAGCTGCAAAGTTCCCCGGGGAGGGAGAAACAAAAGGTCAGGGGACAGAAGCCACAGGGCCAGGCTGGCCTCGTACATGACCTCTCTTGGAAAGAGCCCAGCACCCCTGACCCAGGGCAGGCCCGTAAAGGAAGGAAAAGATCGTCACTCGTGGAAGTCTTTAAAGGCAAGACAACTTCTGACAGTTGCTAATGTTCTGTCTTCGTGTCTTCTGACCGAGGACTTCTAAATGCTTAATCACTTGTCTTCCCACCTGTCAGAACTTATTTCCAGCCTCCTCCACTGCTGGGAATGAATTCGTTAACTATGGGACTTTGGTCTGTGTGATAAGATTTGGTGACTCCACTTTGAGAAAGGAAATTGGTTTAATTAAAATGAGTTAATAATTAAAACCTCAGTACACATGCTGGCAAAGCGAGTGCCATAATTAAAACTTCCAAGTGTTGCCTGGCCACACACAGAAGCTTCCTGAAGGGAAAAACCGTGGAGTCAGCCACACGGAGCGGAGACTGCCTGATGTGAGGCTGAGGACAAACGAGCAAACTTGTGTCCTTTCCTGTGGGTTGTGGGCAGATGCGTCCCTGGAGGTCTGCCTTCGCCCACACAGCCCTGTGACACCCTGTAGTGTAGACAGATTCCTTTCCGGGCGCCTCGAGGAGTGGATTTAACGCACGAGGTTCACCAGGAAGGAAGAAAAGGGGGTGGTCTGGGAGTTCCCGACGGGCAGGTCCCACTTCAGACTCACTGTTTTGTTCCCACGGGGGGACAGCGCTGGATACACAGTAGGAGCTCAAGAAGCATTTATTAAACGAAAGCACAAAGGGAAGGAGAGAAAGGGAGGTGGGCAGGAGGGAGGGCTGGTCCCAGATTAGGACGCCCGCAGGGACCAGCTCCCACCACCAGGTGGCAGTGCACAGAACAGGTGGCCGCAAGGGGGACTGTCCCGGCCCCTTTCCCGGCACTGCGCACTGCGGAACCCCCTCCTGCGGCTGCTCGCACCCTGGGGCTGACCTCCCTGTTCTGGGGGGCGGGGAGGGTCTCTGAACCAGGCACACACCTGAGCTCTGAAAAGGAAAAGACAAAAGCAAAACAAAACACCACGGAAAAGTGCAGTCCTCTGGTTTTTAGAAAACTTGAGTCCCGATGGCTGAACACCGTCCACCTCTCGGCCTTGCTGGTCTGAATTTTGTAAATTTAAATAAACTCTATTCCTTCATACTTCACGTTTCCGATCTTGGTCTCCGGCAGTAGGAAGCGGCCATCCAGTGTGAAGGCCAGGATGTAGGTGGCGACCCTGCCCGCGT